ACAGCATGACATGATAATGATGCTGATTATGATAATGTGGATGACAATGACAATGTGTACATAGTGATGTATATAAACTATGGAGGATTATGAGGGGTGGCACTTAAGTGGTCATAACTCAGTCAGATGTATAGCCACCTTCCTGCTACAATACCAAACTTTAATCTCATACACATAGCTGCAGCCGAGTTGTAAGACATTGCTGTCGACCAATCAGATTGCTTAGATCTGTGTCGCCCAGAGTGACGCTTTAGTGGGCTGACAACATATAATGGCAACAGCATGACATGATAATGATGCTGATTATGATAATGTGGATGACAATGACAATGTGTACATAGTGATGTATATAAACTATGGAGGATTATGAGGGGTGGCACTTAAGTGGTCATAACTCAGTCAGATGTATAGCCACCTTCCTGCTACAATAACAAACTTTATTCTCATACACCTAGCTGCAGCCGAGTTGTAAGACATTGCTGTCGACCAATCAGATTGCTTAGATCTGTGTCCAGCCCAGAGTTACGTCCCTTTGTGGAGATCATGATGGTGACACCATTACATAAAGTTGATTTTCACAGAGAAGAAACTAATAAGTTTATAAGCTTTATGTGTCACAGGAATGCGAGTGTAATGTGAGAATTTGTTATGTCCATGCAGAGAAAATTCTACAACGGTCCTGCATCGTCATATTCGAGTTATACGTGCCAGTCCTGTTTCGACTGAGAATTCAGATCCGAACCCACAGCGAGTTAGGCTTTCTGTAAATTATCTTCTTGAGTGAATGCGATAGGCAGAATAACACGTCCTTTCCTTCACCGACGAATAAATGTTGCGCATTCATGCAAAACTCTCGAGATACGAGCTGAATCCAACTTAAATACCAGAAAAAGGGTTCATGCGTTGTTACTGCAAGTCATAGGCCACGAGTTGCACCGTGAGGTGAGGTGAGGTGAAACTGGGTTTAACGTCGTGCTCATGTGACGACGGGCATGCGTGTGTATGTGTATGGTGCGGCTGCTTGTACTAGCCCATACTTAAGCTGGTTTTATAGTGCTAGCCCACTGAGATACAACGCCGCAGTGAAGCATGAATAATAATAGTAATGATAATAATAATAATAATAGTTTATTACAGTGTCATATGTTACATGTAGTAATACATTTTGGCATACATTTATACAAACACCGGGCCAGTTCTGGCCTAAATGATGCCAGATAAATACATATATTTTTCAGTAAAATTGAATAAAAAAGTATTATAAAAAAATTCTTATTTATATATACATCAATGCCCCACTCAGACACATTATACTGACTCCGAGCCGACCAGTCCTTTGTTGTACCCATTAATGCTGTGCGCCAGGCAGGATCAACAAGTGCCATATTTTAACGTCTTTTTGGTATCACGCGGTCGGGGATCGAACCCTCGACCTTCCGATCTCCGGGCGGAGGCTCTAACCACTACACCACGGAGGCGGTCTTGCACTGTGAGAAAGCACTTTAAAAGCAGCATGGCTGACTGCGATATTGGTTGTATTGGAGAATTGATACTGAAGCTTGGGAAGACGTGGCTGGATATGAAGACTGCTTCTCCATCTCACAATCGGGGTGGTGGGGTAACCTAGAGGTTAAAATGTTCGCTCGTCACGCTGAAGACCAGGGTTCGATTCCCCACATGGGTACAATGTGTGAAACCCATTTCTGGTGTCCCCGGCCGTAATATTGCTGGAATGTTACTAAAAGCGGCGTAAAACCAAACTCACTCACTCATTTCTGGTGTGGCTGAACTACCACTGAAATTATTAATCTGTATTATTTGTTTTCTGTGTTTTGGTTTCACAGTGAAATCTTTTAGCATAAATTTGGGGTGAAGTTATCGTTGGAAATTGAACATTATAATGTTTTCAGGTGATGTAGTAAATCTGCTCTGTACCATCCGCCCTGAATCAGCTTTACGTTGTTTTATAGGCAGTGTTAACTTACCCGTGAATGGAATGTATTTTAGACTACCTTTGTGAATGTCTTTACGGAATGTATACAAATTATTAATTGCGGCTGCAACAGGGAGAGCTCAGTGTGTTTACCTTTTCTCGAAACACTGATTTTAAATAATTCTGATCACCGTATTACAATTATGGTTCCAAAATGGAGGTAATCGAGGCCAAATGTTCTTGGAGTTGACGATCTTCATTATCTTGAATATTTCCATATGTTCTGTAGTGAATGTATATTTAACGTGTATGTGTTTAATAACATATTTATAAATATCAGTTCTGTAAAATATTAATGGAAATGGGATTAGTTGGTAGCATTATCAACCTTTAACTGAAACGTTACTTGACCAGCTTAACGCTGTCCATGGACTGGTATTGCTTAAAATGGTTCCATATTGGACATGACGAGTCATTTCAGCATAACCCAAATCATTCCCTATTTGAACTTTGCTTTGTGTTCAATAGTATTTTAAGCTGACCACGTGACTGCCTTCTGCACACATTGAACTCTCTTGTTTTATCTTAAGCGAAGTACGTCGTGTGGGACTACATGTTGGCAGTCGTCCTTGTATGTAAGTAAACTACATTATTGTAACATGCAATAGTTTCCATGTCCTTCTACATATACTAGTTAGTTACATTTTCTAGCCAGTGACAGTTAGGGTTCTAGGTGCAGTTATACCGAGTGTGTTCATGTATTTTGAATAACCGTGGATATATGCATGTAGTTATTCTGAGCGAGCGTTATTGATTAGCCTCGTGTCAGCCTAACCTTTGCTGTGTGTTCATGTATTTTGAAAAACCGTGGATATATGCACGTAGTTATTCTGAGCGTGCCCTCATTGGGTTTGTTCAATTTCCGGGATTCATTGGAATTCAACATAGGCAAATTTAGTTTAAAACCGACGGCGTTTCCAATGAATCCCGGAAATTGAACAAAAACCAAACTATTTATCAATATTGTAAACCAATTTGTATTGAGAAGCCTTTTTCCAAGGAGTTCTTTGAATGTAGCGCGATCGTGTGTCGCAATGCGGTTAGCCTCTCGTGGTCAAGTTCGCTGTCGCCCCAGATACGAGAAACGACAAAAGAAGGGTTACGCTATTATCTAATGGGGAGATAGGTTACGTCATGTTCGAAATGAATAACTGTCAATATAATACACAAAACAAAACAGACATTTTTAAAATTAAACTTGATTAGTAACATTACAATCTCATTACTGCAATACCACTGGAATTGCAATGACAATGAAAGAATTCCATTTTATGCTACCTTCTCCACCTCATGTAATCTTACGTAGACTGGTCCAATCAAGAATGACCACAAGGATTTGATCGTGTAAAGTTAGGCCTACTGTCGATTAACGAAGCTGACATTTATGGTAGAATTGTGTATGCCCTGAAACATTCCCATCACGGATACAATTGAAGAACTTTGCAAGTGTGAAAAGGGCCAAGATGATGAAACAGTGGCAACGGCACGAGAATCGACGCGTTGGCGATCAGACCCCTGCAAAATGGCCGAGTACGACCTCTTCTGTACACTGCTGGATTCGGTGCAGTATGATTTTAAACTTTGAACTCGATAAGGCAGTGACTTTTGCCAACACATCGTGACTGAAGTGAGGTGTACCCAACAGAATCGCGGATATCGACGACAGATTTCGGATGTTGAAAGAACGATTCATTATTGGGATTCATGTGGGATTTGTACAACATGAAGGATGAAACCGGACACAAAAGGTAAGATTTCAACATTTTTAATTGTTTTGATATGCTTGGGCTTGTGTCAGTGGGATTTTTCTAGACTGCATTAGTACCTTTTCATTATTACCGATTAGTATTTATTTTTGCTATTTTAGTATATCATAATATTATCATTCAGTGTTAGATCAGATGTTAATCTTGTTGAAAGCTGTTTTTTGAGAAATAATAACTATATTTGTTTTATGCCTTTGATAATTCCTGTTTAGAAGCCTTGTGACAGTCTAGCGAAAGGGAGGTAACTAACATGTAACTTCCTTTTGGTTTGTTTACAAAATGTTAAACGTTGCACAGCTCTGAAGAAAATTGTATTTCTCTCAGTTGCTTTCGATAATGACCCATCAATTATTTCCCTCAGGCCATTCTCTTCAACCTTAGCAAAGCGGGACTGTGGAGGGACGCTCGGTGTACAAGATGGAGCCGGGTCAGCGTTAGCGCTGGAATTTCGAAGTGGAAACGTCCGGAGTGCTGGCATTATTGTTGTGAAAGCCTAGTGATAGGAAAGGCGCTTTACCTTGCTTAGTAAGCGTAGATGATGGGGAGATCAAGCGTTCTGTAGTATACTGTGATTATCGTCCGTTCGGTTCTGTGTCTCGTCTTGATCTGTCAGCTGTCACCTGTCAGATTTGGCGGGTAAGTTGATCACGTGCCCCGATCACACCCGGAAACATGCGAGTATCACTGGATGGCCAATCCGATGAAACCCGATGTACGAGTGCGGAAGCACTGATCACTACATTCCTCCCTCTTTTCTGGACTTGCATCCCCACTTGGAATCCAGTGAGTCTGTCTGGCTTAGGGAGCATCCAACAGGTGACCTCATCAGGACATGAGAAAATCCCTGCAGGGTTGGGCAGCAGTATTGTGCTATCAACCGAGACAGTTCACGTAACTCATGGTTATTTTAGAGTACACATCTAAATAAGAAAATCCCCAACCAGGTTGTTTGGTGGCAACCGAGTCGGTTCACATAACTTATTAGATGAATTAATTAGTCTATTAGTCCTAGAATCTAAACCGGATCGATGGACTCATTTTCAGTCCTGATCAAGTCAGATGAATTAATTAGTCTATTAGTCCTAGAATCTAAACCGGATCGATGGACTCATTTTCAGTCCTGATCAAGTCAGATAAAAATGGACTTTTTATGGGTGCCCTAGAATCTAGACCGGGTCGGTGGACTCAGTTCCAGTCCTGACCAAGTCAGATTAGGGAATCCCATGTCATAGAGTGTTCTTTCATACCCTGTAGAGCTGCCTAGCATTGATGTAGGCGCGCTCTAGGATATTGGCCATAGTACTCTGTCGAGCCTCAGCCACCAGAGTTGCCACATCACCGAGTAATCTTGGGCTGTTAATCCCTCGGTGACCTGGGCGAGGCCATAGGTAGGGGGCATCCGTTTCCAGCACAAACCGTTTTGCATTCAGGAACCGCAGGGCTGAGAGCTGGTGTTCGTCAAAGCTGGCGACCATTCCGGTATACCCAAACCACGTCTCCGGGAAGTTCTTGGTCCAAAGGGCCATTTCTTTACAGGATCCAGAAAAGCAGTGCAGATGAAACTTCTGGTTCGGTTGGATTCCTGCTGCATGGGCGATCTTAATGCATTCCTCCAGTGGGGCCCTTTGATACCGGTCTTTGGCGGTTCCACGGAGGTGAAGGATGATTGGTTTGTTGATGTCCGCCATCTTGAAGAGTTTTTCCAACACTTTGCCCTGCTGTTCCCAATTCCCCTGCTGTGAAGTCAAGGCCAACTTCTCCCAGGGCGATGACGTCCGGTGAGGACAGCAGACTCTTGAGCTTGTCTAGCTGATTAGAGCGATAGGAGCTCACATTTTTGGATGTAGTCCAACGGCGATTTTCCAACATTGATGAAAGGTTGGATCTTGGGGCCAAGTTGGAGGATCACAAAAACTTGAACGGCTCTGACGAGATCAAAGGAGGATTCATCTAGTGGTTGACCTGCTTGATCCAGGACTTCATCCAGGGGCGTGGCAGCGTCCAGGTGGAGCCTGCTGCGCATTCTGTCTGAATGGAAGTGGGTGTCAAAGCCCCTGGGAAGTCCCTCCAGAGTTGGTGGCTTGTGCCGTTGTTGTAATGGATGGTGAAGGTGGAGGTGTCCGCATCTCCGATGGCTCTGACGATTGTGTGGGCTTGCACAACCGGAGATGGACTGGCCAGTGGCAGGATGGTTCCCAGGTTGTGGAAGTGGATCCTGACCATTTCAGATGTTACGTTTTAACAGTGACGCCAAAACCCTCCAGTGAATTAGGCAAGCCGGACTCTCCAAAGACAGGTTGGTGGCGTCTAGGGTAAGGGCCAACCTTTCATCTGGCACAGCTGGGAAATGTGCCCGTAGCAGCTTCCTCTGAGAGGTATGTCCTTGGGAACAAGGCTATTCCTTAGGACGAACTGATGCAATTCCGTCCAGGTAGCTCCTGCTCCCAAGATCTGCCGAGCCAGGTCTTCTATGGCTGTTACCATGTGGGAAGTTGTTTCCGCCGAGGCCTTTACCGAGTCCCGAAGACAGTGGGGGAGATGAGCTCTATGGACATGATGGCGCAATGTTCTTGTTCGCATACCACAAGACTTGATGGGGCAAATGGATCCTAAGCCATGAGGATGGTTGCTGTGAAATCGAGCAGCTCCCTTATTGGTTATCGACACATTCATCCCTCTGCTATCGGTCTTGATCAACCTGGCGGAAGAGGATGGTTCGGGCCGCTGTTGCTCCCGTCTCGGTGAGGGACGATGTTCCTGCCTTCTGAGGACCTGTTTCCTCGGAGAGGAACGTCTCTCTTGTCTCAACAACTTCCTATCTGGCGAATGATGTTTTTCCTGCCTTCTGGGGATTTGTCTCCTAGGTGAGGAACATCTCTCCCTTCTTGAGAGCCCTCTCTGCTGGCGAATGTTGTTGCTTTTGCCAGGACGAGTTATAGTACACAGCCGTCTGTCTGAGCGGAGATCGTCGGCTTGAGGTCTCGGCCGGCCTCCTGGAAGGTAGACGTTCTTGAGGTCTATCCCAACGGTTTACTGGGAGATAAACCACCGAGGCCACTCGTCTATGGTCAGGGCTCGGACAATGCCGTTTTCGGGTGATGAAACCTGAGGCTGGTGACTCCGCTTTAGTGAGGGAGAGTGTGCAGGTGTATGGGGCCTGTGGTTCAAGGATCTTGACTCACGCCCATGAGCCTGGTCCACTCCTGATGTTCGATGCCCAGGAGAAGAAGGGGTGGTTCCCCTGCTTGACAGGGACTCCGGGGATTCTGATTGTCCATCCCCAGCCCAGTAAGAGGTGGACAGCTCTCGACTCCTGGCACCGCGACGTTCTACAGATCTTGTACGTCGTTGGAATACCATGTTTCTGGAAAAATAGCAATGTTCTACTTTTAAGGTGAATTGTCCCTTCCTGTTTGGCAGTGAGGACAGATGTATTTATCCAGAGTCTGAGCTATTTTCCTGGTGATTCCTACACATGCTCCGTGAAACCATTGGTCACACTGGTCACAGCCTATCATCAACTTTCCATCATCTGGCTTGTTACAGATACAATAATTAGTTTGATTGCTGAAGAGCCAATCCAAGTTAAGATCCTCTTGGGCCTCTATAGAACTCCTGGTTTTAGAAAACCTTTGGATCCAACTTGGAATTACACGATCTCGACAAGGCTTGAGGCGGTCATGATGATGTACTGATGTTGTCTTCCTTGTCCGGACTTCATACAATGTATTGGAAATCTTATTAGTTATTATTCCTGGTCCTTTCCAGGATGGAGACAACTTCTTGCACTTCCCCACAGTGGAGGCAGTGTCCAGTATATACACCATTTCTCCCTCTTCAAACTTCCGGGACAGAATCCTCAAATCATAATCCCTCTTCATCTGGCACTGAGTAGTTTGTAATTTTTTACGGGCCAACTGATGTACCTCACCAAGTGCTGAGGCAAGCTGACTTACATACGTGTCGGGGTCCAAAGATGGAGATTCCTCCCGTGTGGCACTGAAGACTAGCTCTGCAGGTTGATTGATTTCTACCTAGCATCAGCATATTGGCGGTATATCCCGTTTGTCGATTTACTGCAGATCTCAATGCTCCTGCCAGTTGTGGCAGAAATTCGTCCCACCTTGTCTGGTTTGCGTCAATGTGGCAACGAATGGTTTGCAAGAGAGTGCGATTAAATCGCTCTACTTGTCCATTTGCAGAGGGTCGATATGGGGTTGTCCTGGTTTTGTGTATCTGAAGTAATGTGCAAAGCTCAGTGAACAATTTGCTCTCAAAATTCCTTCCTTGATCCGTAAATACTTGGAAAGGACATCCAAATCGGGAGAAAAAACCGTCTACGGCAGCTTTGGCTGTCACCTCAGCCATTTGGGTAGGCAAAGCTATGCACTCCACCCATTTGGTGAACTGATCAACCATCATCAAGATGTATTGGTTACCCAAATTGCTCTTGGGCAAGGGACCAATGAAATCAAGATGAACTCTTTCCATGGGTGCCCCTGCATGAAAGTTGATCATTGGTGACCGGGCATGTCGTACAGGTCCTTTGTTTCGGCTACATGCTGAACAGGTGCTTACATACGATTTGATATCCGGTACCATGCCATGCCAGTAGAACCTGATTTTGACTCTGTAGATAGTTTTTTCCATTCCAAGATGTCCTGCAGCTGCTATATCATGGTTTAACCTTAGCACTTCTTGCTGTAATGATTTCCCACCAGGATGCCATGCCTCGTGTTGTCTTTTCTTTATGAGAGGATCAACACGTAAAAATCCCTGACTGTCAATCCGAAATAAATTTCGGTTCAGCCAATAGTGTTTCGCTGCAGGACTGGTCAGAAAGAGACTTGATTCACTCGGCTCCTTAGCAGTTTGAATCCAATCCATTATAATTGCCAGGTCAGGATCAGATTTCTGCTGATTGATTATCTCCTGAGTAGAGTACCCAAATTGTTCTTTCTGCCCGTCGTCGGTTCCTACAAGTCTTACTGCCACTGGGGTGGTGTTCAATAAGAACCCTGAATCCCCATTGGATTGTATTTCCATACAGGAGACCGGCAGGCCGCAATCATCTGGTGAGTCATCATCAGAGAGGCAATCCTGCCCAACATGGGCCAGAGGTATGGTATCATCTACATCCTCGAAAAACCTGTTCCACTTTTCATGAGCTCGAGTGCAATATTTGCATCCTCCACAAGGTAAATTTTCCAATATTATTCCTGGTTTATAATTGTGGCATTTATCCTCTTGTGGAATTCGTGATAAACCATCAGCATTGGCATGCAGTTTTCCTGGACGGTGCTTCACTACCATGTCATATTGGCTCAATTCTTCCAGCCACCTAGCCAATTGGCCATTTGGATTCCGGAAAGTTTAATAGCCATTGGAGACTGCTGTGATCAGTCCTAACAGTGAAACGTCGCCCCAGCAGATAGTGTCGAAACTGTCTTGTAAATCTAATTACTGCCAATAGCTCTTTTCTGGTTGTACAATATCTCTTTGTTCGGCAGTCAGACTGAAACTGCCAAAACAAACCACTCTCTCTTCACCATTTTGAATTTGGATCAGCTCTGCACCGATTGCTTCATTGGAGGCATCTGTATCTAGGATGAAGGGGTCCTCCTTGGTAGGTAATGCCAACACAGGTGTATGGGTAAGAGCATGCCGCAAGGACGAGAAAGATTGCTCCTGCTCATCATTCCATTGGAATGCCTTCTTACCCGTGATTTGATACAATGGGACTGCCATTGAGGCGTAGTCCTTGATAAACATTCTGTGATAATTGGCAAAGCCAAGGAACCTTTCAACATCCTTTGTACAAGTAGGGTGAGGCCAGGTTAACACTGCTTTAAGGCCCTCGTTGTTAGCCTCCAGCCCATTCTGGCTAACCACACGACCAAGAAACTCTACCCTCTGCTGAAACAGTTCACATTTCCGCGGTTTCAGCTTGAGCTGGTAAGTTCGGAACCTCTCAAATACAGATCGGAGATTAGTCAAATGGTCTTCGACATCAGTGCCCATCACCAGAATGTCATCCAGGAAGGCCAGAGCAATATCCCAGGTCAGTCCTCTCAACACAAGATTCATTACTCGTGAATACGTTGCTGGAGCATTACAGAGGCCAAATCCCATCCGAACATGTTCAAAAAGACCATACTTGGTGATGAAAGCTGTTTTCTCACGATCCATTGGTGATATTTTGACTTGCCAATAAGCTGAGTTTGCATCCAGCTTCGAGTACCAGACGTTACCCGCGAGTGTGTCCAGACAATCTTCTATCAGCGGCAGCGGAAATACATCCTTTTTCGTGACTCCGTTCAGACCGCGAAAATCTAGACACCAACCTACTGTATTATCATGTTTGCGTATTAATACAGGGGGTGCAGCCCACTCTGATACAGAAGGTTGGATGACTCCAGCATCTAACATTTTCTTAAGATGTGACTCCTCCTCCTTTTCAAATCCAAGTGGTGTCCTTCGCATGCGCTGTTTAATTGGTTTGGCATTCCCGGTGTCGATGGAATGTTCAAGCGCTGTAAAGTTTCCCAGATCCAAGTCATCTTTTGCAAATACATCCTGATAGTCTGTAAGTAATTGTGCCAATTGCTGAACTTCCTGACCTTGAAGTAATTCGGATGACCTTTCAAACAGACTTCTCAGATGAGCAGGGATGTTGGGTTGACTATTT